CCAGACTGGACCCAGACCTGATCCAGACTCAAATCCAGACCTGATCCAGACCTGACCCATATCTGACTCAGGCCTGACTTCAAAGCTCAACTTAAAACGTATTGGTTCAGGATGGCTTTTTGCCCGTAGGTTTATCTGTATACTGGGTTCTGTCACCGATGTGTTTGTCTTTGTGTATTAATTTGTGTTGTTCGATTGTTTGATCTGTTTTTTATTCTGTACAGCACTTCGATCAGCTCCAGTTGTTGTAAAGTGCTATATAAATAAACATTGATTGATTGATTGACTCAGACCCGGACTCAGATCCAGATCCAGACCCAGACCCAGATCTGCCCCAGCCTGGATCAGGTCTGGGTCTGAGTCTGGATCAGGTCTGGGTCTGGGTCTGAGTCTGGATCAGGTCTGGGTCTGGGTCTAGGGCAGTTCTGAGTCCCTGGTGGGGCACAGAGGCTGTTTGGTCTTTCCCTTCTTACATTTTCTTGTTTGTTCTTGTAACTGGACCACACCCAGAGAGGACACACACACTAAAGCCTCATGACTCAGAGCACCGGATAATTATAATTATTATTAATTATAATAAGTATAAAATGATAGAAATGAGTTCATTTGTATTAAGGACTGAAACCACCATAATCTGAAATAAATACATTATAAAAACAGCTCATTCTGTAAATTGACATTAAGATAAATACAAACATCTTTTTTCCTCTTTTCTGAAAACTCTAATTCTTGTGTTAATGTTGCTGATTATTTACTTGTTTTAAATGTTAGATTTTATTTACTTATTTAGCATATTTCTATGCTAATTTGTTTTACTTGTATGTATTTATAAATTACTTTCATTTGGATAACACAGTTTTATTCATTTCCTCCAAATATTTTTTTATTTGCATTTCATTATAAATGGTTCAAATATCTGTAATTTAATTAATTTGTATGCATCCACAAATTTACTTCACTGTTATTTTCACTTTGTATTTTCTTCCCTTATTTTCATCCTAATATTATTTGACTGTTTTTGTGTAAATGTAAACGTAATCTAACGTTATGACATCTGTTTTTAACAGTAAAGTAAATGTTTTCTTACAGAGAATCATAAATCCTGCAGACTGGGACAGAAACAAACAGAGAAACTTTGATTTGAACAAAAACAGACACAGACAAACTGGAAAAGTAGTTTCTTTTCCTCTTTCCTGTGACATAAATCCAGCAGAGAGCTGTAATCTGAGGACAATGAACACGGATGTGAAGTTAAACTTTAAAACTTTAATATAAACTGCGTTCTGTGGGATTCACACAGCTCGGCGTCCACGTTTGCCCGGAAAAAGGGGAGGAACCTCAGCCTCTGGACATTAACTACAACAAAAAGAAGAAAGAGATGTGATTAAAACCTAAACATGTTGTGGATGTGTGTAACATATAAATATGTCTAATAAAGTACAGATACTGCGGGATATGAGGGAGCTGCAGCTCCCCCTGGTGGCGAGAGGGAGATTTTTTTTTTAAATGTATAAAAAATACTTAACACAATTTATAAATTCCTTATTAATATTTTGGGAAATGATTTTGACTTTTATTTTTATTCTACTATGACGTGTATTTGAATTTTAATCAAATTATTTCGAGGCCTAATGAATGAACACAGATTCACGGAAGTTACGTTGTCATGGCAACGTCAAGCAAGCTAGCAAAGAGATTTCCCGCTAACCGGCAGCAGAATAGTAAATCTCCATAGTCTAATGACGGAAACGAGGAGGAAAAATGGCACAGAAACGCATTTTATGTGCCGTATTTCCACCACCAGTGAAGAAGAACACTAGTAATTATATGCTAATAGCTCTTTTGTCCAAAAAAAACATATTTTTTCACAGCACCACCTGTTCAAAATGGCCTCCAGCAGCCCTGTTTGGTACTTAAATACAGAATTTAAGTATTTCTACTTCCTTTCTGAACATCTCTGGGTTTATTGGTTCTACTCACATGGACGTCATGTCGTTCAGGGCGTGATCCAGCTCCTCGCTGATGGCTTTGTACTTCAGCTTCTGAGCATAAAGCTCATCTACAAGCACAGATCAATATAAACATGTCCAATAAATTATGTTCCGCAAAATAAAGATGAATTGTGTAACAATGAAGATGATATTAGAAATATAGAGTCGGCAGACGTTAGATTATACAACAATTGAACTGTAACTAGAGGAGAAAATACATAATACAGTGGGGGAAATAAGTATTTAACCCCTTGCTGATTTTGCCGGTTTGCCCACTTACAAAGAATGAAACGATCTATAACTTTAATCATATGTACATTCTAACAGTGAAAGACAGAATCCCAAAGAAAATTCCAGAAAATCACATCGTATGAATTTATAAAAATTGATAATTATCTGATGAGGAAAAACAAGCATTCTTTGTAAGTGGGCAAACCTGCAAAATCAGCAAGGGCTCAAATACTTATTTCCCCACTGTATATAGGGATATACAATAGTTGAATAAAATGAGACATTTTTGGGTGAATATAATTTATATTCTGGATGGGAGCGTTACCCTCCAGGTCATCGATGGTTTTCTCCAGCTTGGCTACGGATCTCTCAGCAAACTCAGCTCGCGTCTCAGCCTGAGATGGAAAACAAATAAAACCTGTTAAAAAACCTGTTACACCAGAAAGGTCTGAGCCATGAGATCACCGTTTTAAGCTAATTCCAGACATACTTTAAGATATCTGCTGCCTCATAATACATTCTATTCTATATAATCTGTTCACGGCACCTTCTAC